GAGATACAACACACTGATTTGATGTACAATGTGGAATGCTTACATCTAATTGATTAACATAACCATCTCCTCGCTTACTTCTTTGTTGTGGTAAGACATTCATACTCTATTCTTAATAGTTTAGAAATGTATCGTTGCATTATGCATATTAGGTTAGGTCCCCCCAAATGCCCTCCCTCCTCCCAGGCTCCCTCCTTCCCTCCCTTCCGCTTCCCTCCTTCTTTCTGGACTATAGTTATGTTTTACCGTTTCTATGAATGTGTAGGTGATTATATACTGATTTGATAGTAGTATTGAATACATTGGATAATACTTTTTTTCTATTCTTGAGATACTTCACTAAGAAGAATATGTTCCAGCTCCGTCCAGGTAAACATAAAAGATGCAAAGTCTCCATCTTTTTTATGGCTACATAATATTCTATGGTGTACGTATACCAAAATTTGTTAATCCATTCATGGATCAATCGGCACTTGGGCTGCTTCCATGACTTGGCAATTATGAATTGGGCTGCAATAAACATTTTGGTGCAAATGTCATTGTTGTAAAATGATTTTTGATCATCTGGGTAAATACCTAATAGGGGGACTGCAGGATCAAAGTGTTTCTACTTTTTAGTTCCTTCAGTATTCTCCAAGCTTCTTACCAAAAAGGCTGTATTAGCTTGCATTCCCACCAGCAGTGTAAAAGTGTTCTCTTCTCTCCGCATCCATGCCAACATCTGTAGTTTGGGGATTTTGTTATGTGGGCTAATTTTACTGGCGTTAAGTGATATCACAAAGTGGTTTTGGTTTGCATTTTTCTGATGGTTAAAGATGGTGAGCATTTTTTTCATGTGTTTGTAGGCCATGTGCCTGTCTTCTTCATAGAAGTTTCTGTTCAAGTCTCTTGCCCACATTGAAATGGAGTTATTTGTTCTTTTCTTAATAATTAGTTTGAGTTCTCTATGGATTCTAGTTATCAGACCTTTGTCAGAAGCATAACCTTCAAATATCTTTTCCCTTTCTGAAGGCTGTCCGTTTGCTTTATTTACTGTGCTCCTGGCTGTGCAGAAGCTTTTTAGTTTGATCAGATCCCAGTTATATAATTTTGGTGTTGCTTCAACTTCCAGGGGATTCCCCCGCATAAAGAATTCTCCCAGACAAATTTTTTCAAACGTTTTCCCTGTACTCTCTTCTAATATTTTTATAGTTTCATGTCTTAAGTTTAGAACTTTATACAGTGAGAATCAATCTTTGTTAATGGTGAGAGATGAGGCTTCAGTTTCATTCTTCTATAGGTCACCAGCCAGTTCACCCAGCACCGCTTGTTAAATAGGGAATCTTTTCCCCACTGAATGTTTTTGATAGGTTTGTCAAAGATTAAATGACTATAAGTGGTTGGGTTCATCTCTTGGTTCTCTATTCTGTTCCATACATCTACCTCTCTCTACTTTTGTGCCAGTACCATGCTGTTTTGCTCACTATAGATTTATAGTATAGCCTGAAGTCTGGTAACGTTATATCTCCTGATCTGTTTTTATTTCTGAGTAATGTATTTGCTATTTGAGCTTTTTTCTGATTCCATATAAAATGAACCACTATGTTTTCAAGCTCTTTAAAGTATGATGATGGTGCTTTAATAGGAATTGCATTAAATTTGTACATTGCTTTGGGTAGTATAGACATTTTAACAATGTTGATTCTTCCCAACCTTGAGCGTGGTATGTTTTTCCATTTGTTAACATCTTCAGCTACTTCTTTTCTCAGAGTTTCGTAATTCTCTTTATAGAGATCTTTCATGTCCTTTGTTAGATAAATTCCCAGATATTTCATCTTCT